AAATACCTGTTACCCATATCAATGGTCGGTTTGGACTGAAACATTTCCTCTTTGACTTGAGATTTCAAGAAATCACGGAAAATCGTAGCTTCTTCGTCACCTTGAACATATTTCGCCATTTCTGCAAGGACTATGATTTCATATTTTCCTCGTGGTCGTTTCCATATTGACCGAGGCCTTCTCACAGCAAGCGCCAGTGGCTGTATTTTCTCAGATTCTCCATGAAGAATGGGATAGTATCTATGGCTCAAGTTCTCCTGAGCAAATTTGCGAAGTCCTTCTTCTAACATCTGGAAACAAATCAAATGAAATCATGTCTCACTTGCAAGTTCTCTTCTTTCTTGTCTAGTATTATAATTATATTACTGCATCAGCAACAAACAGACTAGTCTTGCGAATGACAAAGTCGTATGTACCTCGACATTAGTTAAGTTTTCTGTGCAGAGTTATCCTTCAAAAAGATAAGAGCGAAATTTATTTCTTTTGTTTCTTGTTGCGAGAGCCGAATCTCTAAAAAGCCGGAGTCATTACATTATTAATAGCTTTGCAACTTGAAGGTATAGAAAACAAAAGATCGTCATCTCCTACTCCACTTCCAGGTGACGAATCGGCTGCCAGATTTGCAAACGACCATAAACTTGTCAGAGGCCAAATTTTCCAAAATGACATAAAAGTGGAGAAACCATCACAATAATTGCGTGACTATCTGAAACTGAGAGTGCTATTAATAGTTTTCATACCATTATTGTTCCGTTTTTGCGAATAGCGTATTTTATGTGATATATTAACTCTACGAAAGCAAATTTAGATAATTACCAATGAGGTACCAATTAATGTTAGTGGTCAATAATGCAGCGCATGCGCTTTTGAAGTAAATGATGTTTATGTAGTCAGAGTCTTATTACATCCGTCGAAACCAAAATGTATTGCCTCTTTTTATCGTTTTATGTAGTTTAGACATGTTTACGTGTAGCAGAGGCATTCCAGAAATATCCCAGATGCACAGCAATTTAACGCCGGTGCTGATATTCATACTTCCGTAACAGGGACCTCAGGGCAGTCAGGGCGGCAACGCCAAGGAAGACATCTATGAAAAAAATTCATCTCTACTTTTGATTAAAATTTCAAAAATGGCTGCAGGTGTTTACCGTCCCTTATGGCGCGAGACCCGGCAACTTCAGCATGACGTATATAAGCAGTGTTGAGTTCCAAATGGAAATTATGACAAGTAGTCATTGCATTGTTGTTTTTCAAAGGAAATATAGGAAATGTACAAATTTTTAAAACGCACGTGCTGGCTATTGTTTATTAGATCTTTTGCTTTGCCACGTCGTCGTTGCCGTCGTGGTTTGCTTAAGTTCTCTGATAATATAATCCTGGCAACGACAAAAACATCAGTATTGCTCATTCCTCATTTTGATGATCTACCATCTGGATAAATGCAAATACATCTTAATCTCCATTTACTTTAAGCACATACCAAGAACGGCACGTTGTATTGAATTAAATTGAAATCAAAACACAACTTTATCATTTTCATCCTGTAGCTTCGTAGCTCAGTTGGCAGTGGCGCACCGCTGGTGTCTAGGGGGCACGGGTTTGAATTAATTGAACCCCTTCCAAAAAAATTCACACAAACACAAATAAAATAAAAGGTTAACAGCTTCACTGAAGAGAAAAAGACCACTTTGGTATTTCAGGAACGAAAGGAAAGTTTTGCCAAGAGTCAGCGTAAATGGAGTCCTTGTGGTCACAATTCCAGCGCGCTTACCAGAAATTCAGCGCCGTTAAATTCCTCGCTACTTCCCTACTTTTGTAAGCACTATAGCTATGACTTTACTAGATCAACCAAGAACTTTAACACATCAGTTTCGTTGTTGAAAATTTTGCGCATGATATAATAAATGGAAATTATAAAAATTTCACATAAGAAAAATAGTTGCATGGCTAAATCAATGTTTAATAAAAAATGGAAAAAGGAGGAAAAACGACCTACCGTTTGGAACAAAATAACAGTGTTGAATGTAGTTTTGATAACAATTACACCAACTCAGGGTATGAAGCGTTGATTCATTCTTAAATGGGCTCCCGATTCGCGTATGTATTTTCGATAAGCTGTTTTGATCTTGCAGTATGATTAATTTCGGTTTCGTCGATGACGTTTGCTATCACAGGCCTCGCGATCGTAGTATTTGAATGGCATTTTTCTTATTTTCTTTCTTGTTATGCTGACATTGTTTGGCTTTGTTTTTGTTTTTTTTGGTTTTTTTTTGCTTCGAGATCTAACAGATTTGAAGTTGGGGAATTCATCAACTTTTCCGTCTGCTCAAGGATCACTTTTGACAGGGTTTGATAGAGAATCGATTTTCTCCCAACCAATTGAGGCAACTCCGCTTTTTCGGTGCGAGCGGGTAACTTCATTCGTACACGGACTCTAAATACTTTCAAGCTTAGCGACTGCGACTTCTCGAGCAAAACAACACTTGCAAGGGTGTGGGAGTCCGGTAAGTGGCGTTTCGCATAGAAGTCATTGAAGTGTTCTAGGTTCAATAAACTTGCGACGCTTGCGAAAACTAATCGCATGTATTAATATGAATTATATTCGCTAGAACAGTAATCTTTGTAATAATGGTCAGATTGCATTAAGGCTTGTGGTTCAAATAAAATTGTTTTCTTACTCAGAAGGTTTCTGAAGACAACAGCATATCCATGAATGTCGTCTTTGGTCAGAGCCCCCACAGCTTTAACCATGCTCGTTCTTTTCCGGTTTATTCATAATCACCTGGCGTGTTTATACTACCAAGCCACTTTCTTAATCTGTTTAAAGCTCATCCTTAACTGAATAATATTTTGCAAAGTGACTCTTTCACGAACTTTCTGATTTAATATAGAAGCAACATTGCTCAGTTTCAAGTTAGTCATGGGCTAAGGTTTGCGCCATCATTCTCAATTCCTTCCCACTTTTCGTCAGATAAACCTGTGGAAAAGAAAGCGTACTTGATTACTGTAGAAAACCTACATTTGATGATTATGTGGTTGGTACACTATGCTGTTCATTGATAGTAACGTTTCAAGTAACGAGTGCAGTTAACACAGGTGCCTGCGCCTGCTCAGCAGAGGTGTTCCGGTAAATATAGAAGTGTTTCGAGTCTGCATAATAATGGTCAGATTGCATTAAGGCTTGTGGTTCAAATAAAATTGTTTTCTTACTCAGAAGGTTTCTGAAGACAACAGCATATCCATGAATGTCGTCTTTGGTCAGAGCCCCCATATCCAGCCTGTTCGATTCCCCCTTACAGGAAATATTGGCAATTCTGAAAAGTTCCCTGTCACCTGGAGTTATTGTCTCTGGAACCAGAAATATGTTCTGGTCTGTTTCTGACGCTTTTTCAAACTAATGACCAAAAAGTCTCAATGTTAGCAACAATCAGACGAACAATCAATCTAAGGGTGTAAATAACATAATAACTCGGAACTTTTGATCGACTTGATATATACACGAACCATACAGAGAATCGTCAATCTAGAGCGATTCCCAGTAAACCATGAATTCAACCTTTTTCGATAACTAATATGTAGCTACCACATATCTGGTCGATAGAGAAATGCAAGCATCGATCAGGAATCAAAGAGCAGTTACCAAAGATTGATGGATAGACGCAAGCAGTGCACCAGGCTGGTGTGTAGACAGAGAATTCAAGGCATCAGAAATGCAGAAAAATAGAATCACAAGCAAAATGTAGACAGGTTACAGACAGAAAGGCAGTTAGACACAAGACAGACGATCCATTTCAAAGCTAGGCCGGTTTGCAGACAGAGAATTCTGGGCACCAGAAACGCAGAAAAAAAGAATCATAAGCATAGAGCAAACAGACAGACCAACATAAGGACCAACCATTTCAAAAGATCATACACTCAATGTGATCGGTATTCGTAAGGCAATTCAGTACATTTAACTGAATTTCTAATGTCTACTTACCCAGGACAGATACTTCTGTACAAGCGCCTTACACTCTCCTCTATTCTTTGTTGGTAGAAGCACTTTGGTGAGAATAGGGTCAAGTTTCTGGAGATCTTCTGGATTAAGAGCAGCATCTGGTTGGAGGAAAAAACAATTCTTGGAATTCGGTTACACGCCACCGTGCTCTGTTAGGATTATTCCGCTCAATGATAAAAATGATGGCAGAGAAAAAGGGGGGACCTGTAGTTTCTCAGACGAGTACGATTTATGGGTAATTTGACTTTATCAACTGAGTTGATAGTGTAAAATGGCCACCGTAAAGGGTTTTAAAGCTGACGTTTCGAGCGTTAGCCCTTCGTCAGAGCGATATTGGAGGGAACATGGTAACAAGAAAAGTAAATCAAAACAATGAAAGCGTGCGTTGATACCTTTGAGATTAAGGGCCGATTTGAAAGAATGATTACGTACATTATAGTATCTAGCGACTGGTTTCGATGCGTCCTTGTCTTTCCTTTCTACGTCGCGAAGGAGGAGTAGGAAAATTCCAACCGCATTCCTGATTCACTCTCACATTTCACCCTCACAACCACGCAGTTAAATCCATTATTCTTCAGTACTTAAAATTACTTCAAAACGACCAGGGACTGGCACTATCTTTTCGCAATCTCCACTTATTCATTCAAACGTGACAAAAACATAGGCAACTTTTTGGCCAGAAGTTCACTTCAAACTAACGACCAACTCAGAACTTTCAAATGCGCTCGCACAAGATGTAGAACTTGTCCTTTCATTCACAACGTTGAGAAAATATCGGGACCCTGAAATGATCTAATAAGAATACTGATCAGAAAATGTGAGCTTTGAAACCCTTAATGGTGGCCAATTTACATCATCAGATCAGTTGATGAGGTGAATTGGTCCTAACCCCCTTTATTCATTTGAGTACGATTTATAGTTCGGAATCCTCCAATGAAGCAGTGGGGGCATGCAAACTTAAGTTTTTCATTTTTGGAAAAAATGCGTTATTCCTTGGCATCATAGATCAAGCCGTTTTCCAAAAAAAACCTTTTAGCGAAAAAAAAGAAACCAAGTAAGGCAGAGTAAGGGCTCACTTTCGTCCGAGTACAAAGATGCTTTCCTAATATACATGTCCATGGCATTTCGCTAAATAATTAACCTCAAATCTCGCTCTCGATTTCGTACTCGCCTTATAGTCATAGGGTCCCCGATCTACTTGTGAAAAGGGCAGACGTCCTTGTGTCAACCACACTTACCTGGCATGTCAGTCTCATCTGAATATGTTTCTACGTGAGTGCTATCATAATCCGGGTCCTCTTCGGCAGGATTGCCGCCAAACACGTCCCTGTTAACTGTTTTACCGACATATTCCCCTTTCCGAATTTCCAGTCTGTTGTCATCCTTTAGGTAATTAACATGGCAACACTTGAAGAGGATCGGCGCAGTGGAGTTTCTGGATGCCACCTCTGGAGGAGAACACGAACTGCGGTAGCGAGCATGCCATTTTTCAAGTTGAAAAAAATGTTTGAAGAAGGGACTCACTTTTGGCGGTACTTTGCCGCTGAATTCGGCCTGGGTCTGAAATAAGATCAATACAAATGTATCTTTCAATGAGTTGTCAAATTTGCTAAACACTCCGTCAGAAATTCAGTAGTTTGGGATGTGAAGAAAGGGGACATTTCTCCAAAACTGATACCTATCGATACTATACCTCTTGCTTTCTCTCTCCTTCAAGTTGAAATTTCTCGCTTGAAATCACGGACGTTATCAGAAACAGCTCATCCCCCTTAAAGCCTTTCATTTTGTTGTAATCTAAAGGAGTATTTGCAAGTATTCCACGGAGATCTGGATCGTCAATGTACTTCTGGCTGAGTTTACCCAGTTTTAGAACTCCTTGATCACCGCTGATCTTGATGGTTCCCTCCAGATATCGTGAGGCACCCATGCTGTACTCTCTAGCACTAATGGAATAAGCAAAAAGCAAGATCGTGAACTAGTAGATACTTCAGTATTCAATCAGTAATCAACATCTGCCTTTGAGGGTTATGCCCTACGAATGTTGGGGAACGTATCGCTTTATTTATACGCTTTTCAAGTATTTCGAGCAAAACACCAACAAACGACAAAGTAGCGGAGGAGCGAAGAGAAAAACAAGTGTTAGACTCACAAAATGTCCCAATGGGGTAATGACTTTTTCGGCTAATGGTTAAAATCTTCGCGTTTTTGCGACTAACGGCTGGATAAACTTTTGGGCCGCTTTACGGCAAACGGGTAACTTCATTGAGATACTCAGAATGGCATGAGTTAAAAATGACTTTTGAGTAATGACCTTCAAACTTCTTTATTAAGTAATTACCTGTTACCAAGATCGATGGCCGGTTTGGACTGAAACATTTCCTCTTTGACTTGAGATTTCAAGGAATCACGGAACATCTGAGCTTCTTCGTCACCTTGAACATATTTCGCCAGTTCTGCAAGGACTATGATTTCGGGTATTCCTCGTGGTCGTTTCATATTGACCGAGGTCTTTTTACAGCAAGCGTCAATGGCTTTATTTTCTCAGATTCTCCATGAACAATGGGATAGCATCTATGGCTAAAAGTTCTTCTCAGCAAACTTTCGAAGTCCTTCCTCTAACATCTGGAAACAAATCAAATGGAATCATATCTAAGTAAATAAGTAAGTATGTTTATTTATTCACGTTGAACACAAAAGAGCTTACGACAAAGCTCGTAAGAACGTGCACGTGCTAAATACTCGAAAATATGTTATAACATATAATAAAAAGTATGAAAATCGTAATATTTTACAATTTATGATTTATGACCCGTCCCTTCCAATCCGAAAATGTGCAATAAGAAATCCCCAACTACTATACCTACTATGATGTATAATTCATCATTAATTAATCGTCACTTCTAACCCGATTTATATATGAAATATGTAATACTGAAGAAATCCCTAACTACTATAACTATTATAATGTTCAACTATATATCGGTAGCTCTGTTATCAAACATGCCTCTTAAAAAAGCAATTCTAAGTCGAACTTTTTCAAAGCTGTTTTAAAAGCCTTGATGTTTTCACTTTTTCATACTTCCATAAGTAACTTATTCCATAGCTTACTGGCAGTGAAGGACTGAAAGACTTATGCAGCCACTCAGAATTAAAATGAGGTTGGGCCAGATTACTGCCTTGACCCCTGAGATTTTAGCCTACATGTCTTAAATTTAAAAAGTCAGTAATAGAACCAGGACCAATAGAATTAAGGCATTTATATATCAAGATCAATGTCTGATAATACCTACGTCGTCTTAAAGTACTTGACTTAACTAATCTAAAAGACTTTCATAACTGTTATTTTTAACTTTAAATAACGTTCTTAAAGTGTAATAATTAGCGTTTTCAAGTCTATCGGCCTGCACTTTGCCAAGACCAATAAAAAATATGCTACAATATTCTAAATGTGGGACATTGAATGCTTTATATAATGATATGGTGTTCACCAATATGAATCGGGAAATTCTTTTAAAAGCAGCAGTCTTTGCATAAACTTTTTTAAACTGTTCAGTGATATGCTCATTAAAGGTAAGCCTTCTATCCAAGGTGACGCCCAAGATTTTCAAAAGTGTCTCACTTGCGAGTTCTCTTTCTACGAACCGTCTCTCTTTTTACTTGCCTAGTATTATACTTATATGACTGCATCAAGAACAAACAGACTAGTCTTGTGAATGACGAAGTCCTATATACGTCGACATTAGTGAAATTTTCTGTGCAGAGTTATCCTTCGAAAAGAAAAAAAGCAAACTTTATTAATATTGTTTCTAGTTGCGAGAGCCGAGTCTKTTGAAAAGCCAGAGTCACTTCGTTATTAAAAGATTTGCAACATGAAGGTATAGAAAACAAAAGATCGTCATGCATCATTTTCTCTACTTCCTGGTGACCAGATTTGCCATCGACCGTAAACGTGTCAGAGACCATATTTTCTAAAATGACATAAAAGTGGATAAACCATCAGAACAACTGCGTGAATATCTGAAACTGAGATTGCTATTAATAGTTTTCATGGCATTATTGTTACGTATTTGTGAATAGTGTATTTTATGTTACATATTAACTCTACGAAAGCAAATTTAGATCATTACCAATGGGGTACCAATTAATATTTGTGGTCAAGAATGCAGCGCATACGCTTTAGAAGTAAATGATGTTTATTTAATCCGATTCCTAATACATCCGTCGAAACCAAAATGTATTGCCTCTTTTTATCGTGTTATGTAGTTTAGGCATGTTTGCGCGTGGCGAAGGTATTTCCAGAAATATCTCAGATGCACAGCAATTTAACGCCGGTGCTGATATTTAACGGCGCTTCCGTAATAGGGACCTTTGGGCAGTCAGGGCGGCAACATCAAGGAAGATGTCGATCACAAGATGAATTTCCACTTTTGATTAAAATTTCGAAAGTGGCTGCGTGTGTTTACCATCTCTTACGGCGCTACACCTCAACCTCAGCATAACCAGGGGCGGATCCAGGGGGAGGGTCCAGGGGGTTCGGACCCCCTAACAGACCTGACGCTTACAACTTTGAAACTGAAATTCTTACATCGACAGGATGGTATATCACTTTTTAGCTGGCTGATCTTTTTAATGAATCCAAGTAAACGGTAATCGGCCAAGGAATTATAACGTGCAACCGCGACTGGTTGGGAGAGGGTGTGAGGGAGAAGTAATTTGCCTCAAAAGAGTCCAACAGTCCTTTCTGAACCAAAGTTTGGACCCCCTCAATCAAAAATTACTGGATCCGCCCCTGATAACGTATATACGCAGTATAATTTGGATATATCAAGAAAGTTGAAATGGTAAATTGGCCACCGTAACGATTACAAAAGCTGACGTTTCGAGCGTTAGCCCTTCGTCGGAGCGAATAGAGGAATTGTGGGTTGTGTGTGCTTTTAAAGGCAGAAAAATGGAGCTACGTTATTGGTGGGAACATGGCAACGAGAAAAACACGAATAAATTAGTGGAATGAAAAGCGTTCGTTGATGGG